AATGCATATAGTTGGTTTGAATCTTAAGGGAAATGTTAAAGATGGGAGATGCTTAAAAACCGTTTCCAAGTCTCTCTTTGCCATGCATACTAGCTTGTGGATTAATAATATGGGATATAATAACAACAAATTACTTGTTGCTTTGGGCGAAAAGAATGAAAGAGTATGTAGGGGCGACTTGGTAGATATATGGCAACATCAACTTGGTGAAATTTCTATTTCTAGACTATAATATTTAGCATCTGGTAGGTTATGGGTCCTATCATTCTCCAATTATCCTTAAGTTAGTGCAATATCTGCACATCCAAGGTTTACAATATAAAATATTTCATTTGAGGCATTCTAGCATATAGAAAAATGTTATTTGGGAGTAACTGAATTAGCATATAGAAAATATGCAGCATGTGAGATAGATAGAGATACTAAAAGTCAAACAAGAAATAGGATGAGTTGGTTTATTAAAATTCAATTTCTAATATGTAAATATATATTTAATTAATTATAAAATAATTAATTTTTTTATGACTTTGATTAATGTACTGAGGTTTCTACCTAGTTACATATATGACCATATAGCAGATATATTTTAATTTTTATACATATATAATTTTCATTTTTAATTTTATAGTATTATTATTAAAAACAACACTATTAACTTTGATAATATTAAGAAACAAATTTTTAAGGGGAAAAAAAGGTTAAAATTATTGCATATAATAAATAATTTTATTGAATAAAAAATATATACTAACAAAAAACAAAGAAAAAAAAAATAAAAGTAAGTCCAAAATAAAAATGAAAAGGGTATAAGGAAAATCCTGAAAATTATACTTGCTAATAATTAGCATACTAAAATTATTACAATAAATTATAATTAACTAAGAGGAATTGACTAAGGTTAATTATATCATTTAATTTAATTAAAAAAAAATTTGAGATTTTAATAGTACATAATTAAACTATAATTATTCTTGTATGTCTATAAATACCATAATTGACAGTTAGCTTTTCTCCATTCCTACTCTTTCTTTTATGAGCTTGTAAATACTTGTATTAGCTTCTTCCTACATGAAACTAAATAATAAAATTGAAATATTCTCTTCAACAGAAGCTATCAATTTTCAGTCAAATTTTGGATTTTAATAACTGGTAAGAGAGTGGGTAAGAAAATGCCAACAAATATGTATTTACACAACTCTAATGCACATTCATACTTCTTTCACAATCCTACAGAAATAACAGATACTTTCCCATCCTTGTATTTCTTGCTTCATCTTCTACTTTGTACAATAAAAAAACATAAATCATCTCCAGACAAAAAAAAAAAAAAAAAAAAAAGTTAGAACAGTGCCGATGAGCTCAAGAAATCACCTAACCAGTTCTTTGGATATTAGATAGCGGAAAGCGAAGTTGTGTTGGACCCACTCAATTGACTTGCGAGATTTTCCTACTTGACACTTCTTAACACTCTTCCTTAACGATTCAGGTAAAGACTGTTGGATCATCTCCATAACACCTACTGGACATAAACCTGAGTCTTTTGCAAATGATTCCACAATCTTTGGTAAGAGAATTCTCTGGTCCTTGCGTATGCCAAAGGTTGCGCGGATATACTCCTCTTTTGCAGTTTCCAGCTCTTGGAATATTCTTTTTGGGGTGTAAACACGAACCTGCAAATGCCATAATTTATCCTTTGTGAAGGGAAAGTACTGAAAAAGCTTTTGAAGAGAAAATAGTAGTTATATGTGTTTTTGCATCATATGGTG